TCAAGTGAGAGTAGGAATCAATACGTTGTATGCTATCAAACAGATTCATGACGTATGTTCCTCCAGAATTTGATTGCTTTCTGCTGTATGAACGAAAAGGCCGAGGAACATTATTTCAGATTGGTTTTTTACATCGAGATTTGAAGCCAGGGAATTTAGCAGTCGGTCCCATAGGCACCCCTCAGTTTCGGCTCATTCACATATTTGACTTTGGTCTCGCTAGGCAATATGTCATAACGTCGGGAGGGGAACGACCGAAATTGCGAAGGCCTCGCCCACGGGTGCATTTCAGGTAGGGGAATGTTCGTTTGTATGACCATTAGTGTTTTCAAAAGTTGACTTGATCGAAGAGGAACTCTCCGTTATTGCTCGATAAACTGTCAACAAAAAGGAGAACAAGGGCGTGACGATGACCTATGGTGCTTTCTGTACATGTTGGCTGAGCTTCGTGGTCCTTTACCGTGGGCAAGTATCAGGCAAGTTCCACATTTTCCAACTCTGCACTGTCCGAAGAAATGCTAATTTTTGTTCTGCATGTTGTCTCAGTCATAAAATATTACATTTACTGTAACCTTCAAGTGTTTGGGAAGTACTTGAGAAGTAGTCTGGGGTCGCTTCTAATAATTGACCTCCTGCCCACTATGAGATAGCTCGCTAGTTGCCCTTAGTCTACCCATTCTTATGTCAGTACCTATACGCCGAAAACGGTAATATGAATGAGCCATGTTCCTCTGAGCCTTGGGAAGAAGCGCTCGGTAGGACCGCTCAATATAGGCTATTTGGAGTAGAAGAAGCCTGACAGTCACTAAGAAACGGAACTCTTCGAGGACTTGCTTGTTAATACACTACCGTGGAATCGCGCGAACCGCACGACATTTACCAACCAACGTCCATACTTGCGAGGCTATGCAGAGAAGCGACCAAGGAAAATTCCAACTGAGAAGACCAGGCCAAATACAAAGACTGACAAGAGTATTTGCAGTGCTCGCCAGAATTCGCCAATCACAAAAACAAAGCGACATCCTTTCGTCGTCCTGATGAAACAGTCACTACATCACGAATGGCAACGGAAAACGTCATATTAGATACCCTTTGACTGCTTTCATGGTCCGCCGGCTGGGGGCGACGCTTGCCCCTTGTTTACAACTGAATCTTGGTTGATACCGCGACCGAGTAGTCCCTCAGCCGGCGGACTATGAAAACAGTCTGTCGGGTCTCTTCGACATCATGTCTACCTGCCATCTACCAGAATGTCGTTCTTTCAACTCTCGCTTTTGAAATCCGACATTCCATCTCGACGATAACGTTGTAAACAATCCAGAATAGTGAATTTATCGACGTTATCGGCTTGATGGCATGAGAAATCTTGAAAGGGAAAATTGAAGGGGATTTACATATCCAGAGACAAGCACTCAAAAGACCATTTGGCCCACTGAATGATTGTAATACCTAAGTATAACGTAGGATATTGACCAATCTATTCCGTAGCAACGAGGCATGATATTGTTGAGTGGGAACACATCAAGGTGCAAGGTGATGTTTAAATATTAGCCTCAAAGTTTCGTTTAGGGAAGGACCTCGAATCTTGAAAATGAAGCAGGAAGTTGCCTTGGAGCAGTTACTGGAAAATTGCCCTGTAGAATTTATTTTCATTGCGCAACATCTTATGTGAGAGGAAAAATCAGAATTATTGGGATTTCCGTTTATGCTGCGGTATAGAAAGTAATTATTTCCAGGACGCTTGACTATTACTCACGTCCTAATTATGCTTTGCTATATCGTCTACTCTCTCAAGTTATGCATGCTGGGAATTTTAAGTAAGTTTGTGTTGCCGTGTATAGAAACGAAGAAGTGCATATCGAGAAAGAGACTCCTCTGGAAAATATAATACATTAGATAGGGCTTGACTTATTATGACTAAAAAGAGATAAAAGATTGTGTAGGAAAGTTTCTGCTCATTATAGTGGTTTCTCTTTCCTAATGAACTGTTATATATTGAAGACCAGTGAGTGCTATGATACCGGTGCAGTGTAAATCCAGAGGACATGACAGTTCTTTCACCTACTTGCTTTTGTAGTTTGTCTACCTACCAGTTAGTTTCAACCGTGACACTGCAATCAACGATAACACCTACCCAAATCAAAATATAGTGGAGTTGTCCGGAAAGTTTCCGCTGTTTCTGAGCATCCTTATCAACTGTTGTACAAAAGATTCGGTTCACACTAGAAGTATGTTGCATAAGACTCGTGTGAGATTGAGGACCACCGCGTGCACTTTTGACACCTGATGCTTTTCTTCTACCGTAGAGGCATGAATGTGGCTCAAGCCGCGAGAAAGACTTGTGACGTCTAGCAAACAATGCTGTAATTGAACGTACAGTGCATGAGGTCTGCGAATTTTAAATAAGGTGATTTCATCCTTCGAAGGTTGGCAATGCTCAGGGAGGCTATCATCAGTTGAAAACGATTGAATCAAATGTTAATTGAAACGAATCTGTAAATCACTACTCGTGATATAGGAGGAAGACAGAATGTTGCGAAATCAACCATCCATGGCCATTTGATGGGATTGCGTTTTGTTAACCGCCTTGATGTTTGGGTACCTTGCCAACTGAGCGACCGCAATGTGATGTTACCGTCGCATCGTCGGATCCGTGGGTCGTGGGTCGTGTACAACAACGTGGAGATCGTGGGACCTGGAGATCACAAACCACTACAAGAGTCAGATCTAGCTGCAGAAGATTATGCCGTGCTGCTGGTGTGATGAAAGGGAATCATTTATTATGAACTGTTGAAGCATAAACAAACGATAAATTCGGAAAGGCGCTGCACTCAGCTAGACAGTTGGAAGGCAGCGATAGATCGGAAGCTCCAGAACCATTCGTAGAAGGTGTCTCTCAACAGTAAAACTCGAGGCCACCCGTAGTTTCGGATACTCGTCAATAATCGCTCGAGCTTGTGGGATCTCTTGCCCTTGCCACCGCCACCTCCTCCCCCATAGTACACCATCAGGCTACCGTATGTTTAGCTTTCTGTGGAACTCTTTGAATGGAAGATCGTTCAATCCACTGGATGACTGCAAAAACCACCTTAGAGGGTTTTCGATGCTACATATGTCTACAACCTTTTATGAGGGTGGGAGCATAGTGAATACGTATACTGCAACGAGACTTTCACGAGAGTGACGAACCATCACTGAACGGAGGATATGTTGCTTGATGAGTGGATTTGTTCTTCTGGAGATGTTTACTCAAAGATGACTAGAAAATCGGCGGAAACCTTCCGGACAGCGCTATACAATATCTCAGCCTATATCAGTTACTCTTCGCGACTGAGCAGAATTCAAGGAGCTGTTCCCCTCTGAATTCCCTGAACGTTCCCCTCTCGAACTCAGTCAGGTGGATTCCTAGCAGCCAGTTTCAACAATAGAGCAACCTTGTTTATCGTACTCTGTACCTTGCGGAATTTACGGAAGAGGAGATGAAAAGCGTCTATCATACGTGTCTCTTCACTCGGATTGCTCCAGATTTGTAGCGCTTGTTTGACAACTAAAGAATTCAACGATTTAAAGTCACATCATGCACCTGTATGTAGAAGATAAGGGCCAAAAAAGAAAATCATTCCTGCTTCTGACTCTGTGGGTCCTAGTAGTTACTTTTTCCATCTGAACAAAGCAGTTCTAAAATTGCTGACTCTCTTTGAGTGGTCAAATGGTATAGTTTGCATGTAAGCAAACGGACCCCTACACCGTTCTGTTTTCATAACTGGTATTTCATGGATGTTCCTAGTAGTGAGGAGTAGAAGTCCGAATTACGTAAAAGGGAAGAATAGTGGTATTTCTAAGGCACAATGAATACAGAGTTGTATGAGTCTTGAATGCGGTGTTTTGGCAAGTGGCGCACTTCAACAAGCATGGATTAGGATCCCGTATCTATTTCAGACCAACCAAGCTCGCGGCCCTTCCGGGGTCGGCCAAATGGTACCAGACTCGTTTGGAAGGATAAAGGTGCTGATTTGTACAATGACTGACCACCGCAACTCGTAAAGGCCAAATACGGACTAGAGACGCCACAACTACTCCGGACGGAAGAGGAATGCTAGTTTTCAGCCTTACCAATCCCAAAAGAGCGATTGGTAAGGCGGGGAAATTTATCTTTTCGCTGTTTTGCTAAAGGCTCGCGTTAGAAGTTCCAATCTGATTTTTCTGACCAAATGAAGTGCAGTGTTCTACCATACACTCGAAATGTATTAGGAAACCTTTGACTGCTCCCTGCTCTTTCAATGGAAGGGAGCAAAATGACTCGTGATCGAGGAACCTCCTGACAAATATTTTCTGAAGAATCATAGTTCTGATTTCTTTGACTAAATCAGTACTACATACGTACTAATACGCGCTTTATATTCGACATGCCACTTCCACCACCCCTCTCAAAGCCCCGATGATATTTCAATATTGGAAGAGTAGAATTGCTTCCCGAGACGTGGTCATTATTGAAACCCTCCGATCCTTGCTGAATTGCTCATGGGTTATTCAATGTATCAAAAGAAGGCTGTACATATTCTTTACTGTGGTCCACAAAAGTTGCTATTCTCAATTATTTTGCTAACTTAATCGTTCTTGCGCATTCAGGTTTTCTGATCCTTATGATTGGGAGTTGAAGTCATCCATTCCATCTTCGGCAGAGTGAGTGCTAATGATACCATTTGAGATGAGATGCTGCAAATGAGCATTTTGAAGAATTTGTCTTAAAAGGCTAGGGAATAGTTATTGCCTCGCTTGACTGACGAGCTACTACCCATGAAATTCGTCCGGCATGGAGGGCAAGGTGCGAACACTTGCACCACACTTTGTTCATTATGAATATGCTTCGCTGCTATGCTTGCTAGTCTTCCATTCCTTACTTCCTTTTTAAAAACATTGCTCACGTAATTCAAAGCAAATTGTGATCGTGTGCTCATCTTCGCATTCTCACTTTGATGGAAAGGTTATGACTTCGGCTGATCGTCACCCACCTTCTCCCTTAGAGAATCTTGAGCTCTAGTTCACGACAATTCTGAGGTATTTAGCTTAAGTGAAAGTTACGATGCAGAGTAGTGTAGAAATAGCGAAGAAAGTGGATATTTAAGGCACAGTTCACGATAATTTTGAGGTAGCCTATTTTATTCGAGGTATAGTATAGTTTATCCGAAACCGGAAGTATATTTCGGGAATAATTTATCGGTTGTGAAGGAAGCGAGAGAATTCGCCGAATTCGAGAAAAATATGGCTCCTTAAAAGTAGGGAAAGCAGAGGTTGGACGAGATAACCATGACGGAAATAACATGGGAGAGGTGTCTGGACGAGATTTCAGTTGTTGCAATTGCGCAAAGAGCTACTGCATCAAGCCAGAGTTGTAAATACTACGTTTCGCTGTTGCTATTGGTCATGGCAAGATGTTTGAACTTCCTACAGGTTCCCTTGTGATCGGTGCAGCCTCTACAATGTCGGTGAAATTCGTCTGAGGATACACACGATGCAGTCTT